GGGGATTCGAACCCGCCACCTTAGGTGTACGTGGCTGGCGCCTTAGCCAGTTGAGCTATAGGCGCCGAGCCAGGTTTTAGTATTTTTATAGTACCATATGAGCCTCTGTTGTACTTCAGTATGATTATGTACTATTGACATGCAGTACATTTATAATTAGTTATAAATAAGTTTTATTTATTTTCTTTAAGGTATGCTTTACCTGTTTTTTTAAATATGTGTGTATAATGGATTTTAATATGACTGTAATTTTCATAGACTGTTTCAATGACAATTTAATTAAAAGCAGGTAAAGAAAATTTGAATATGAGTGTAGTTTACACATATCTTAATGTTATTCCCTGTCTGTATTACCTTTTTTTCAATAATTAACAGTAATGAAGTTTATATATTTGATATGTGAAGTAGGTTTAGGATACAATTCCTTTAACTATTAAATTAAAATCTTTTTCTTAGCACTAGGGGGCACTCTTGATTTATGAATTCATGTCATACTTGGTCTATATTGAAAATGTGGAGTGAGAAGAAACTATTCGAAAACATTTCATAGCAGACTGTTATTGCTACTGTGAAAGAGAAATCTGAATTATCAAGCTGGTTTTGTATAGCAGTGTAAATATTAGTTGATCTATATAATAGTGTTATACAGATAATAAAGTTTATAGAATGAGATAGTAGAGATTGAAGGAAATTAAAGTATTTGTGCTTTATTCATTTCACATTGATTTTCTGAGTGGGTTATAAATGATTTTACACCCCCATTGTTTCTAATATATTTCTTGTTTTAAAACTTCTAAAAAAAAGCTTCTAGCAGGGTGTTTTGCTCTTAGCAAGTGTTTAGTCTATATCTGGAGAAATGACGATAAATTTTAGGCATTCTTACTCATTGTGTTTGCAATTAGGAATTTTAGTGATGTTCTTGAACATGTGCTTGCCAAAGATAACATTTGTAAGGTTTTTATCTTTATTTAGGAGATTCCGTTGAATTTAAGCTTTAAGTGGATTGAGTGGATAGTAACATCTCCATTATCACTGCATGATGGAATAATAATAGCATGCTTCCATTCAGCAATACTGTGCTTTGCGTATATTAAATCATTTCTTCTCACCACAACTCTCTGAAGTAGGTACTAAGCACTATTTCATAGATAAGGACACTGAATACAGAAAAATATGTACTAGGTTCACAAAGAGGTCGTTTTTTATTCCAGAGTCTGTGCTTTGAAAGTACTCTCCTGTATTGCTTCTCCAAAGAAAGAAGGAATTATTACTGACATGTCAAACTCAGTTTTTAAAGTGACTATAGTGGCTCAGCACCTGTAGCTCAGTGAGTAGGGCACTAGCCACACACACTGAGGCTGGCGGGTTGGAGGTTGGCCCGGGCCTACTAAATACCCACGAAAACTGCAACTAAAAATAGCCGGGTATGGTGGCAGGCGCCTGTAGTCCCAGCTACTCAGGAGACTGAGGCAAGAGAATCACTTAAGCTCAAGAGTTTGGGGTTGCTGTGAGCTATGACACCACAGCACTCTGCCAAGGGTGACATAGTGATACTCTGTCTCAAAATAAATAAATACATGAATACATAAATAGAGTATAGTGTGGACTACCTAATTTATAGACACCTGTCATTCTCTTATGGAAAACATCTTAGATATTTAAAGTTAAAAAGTGATCTTAAAGTCTGTCTACCTGTCATTTTATTTTATTCTTTCTTTCTTTCTTTATTTTGAGACAGAGTTTCGCTATGTCGCCCTGGGTAGAGTGCTGTGGCATCACAGCTCACAGCAACCTCAAACTCTTGGGTTTAAGCAATTCTCTTGCCTCAGCCTCCCAACTAGTTGGGACTAAAGGTGCCTGCCACAACGCCTGGCTATTTTTTTGTTGTTGTTGTAGTTGTTGTTTGACAGGCCAGGGCTGGATTCGAACCCACCAGCTTCGGTGTATGTGGCTGGTACCATTAGCTGCTGAGCTCTAGGCGCTATGCCAACCTCTGTCATTTTAAAGACAGGAAGAGATTTGTCCTATGGTGGTAAAGTTACCTATTCAGTATTATCTGGCAAGTTATTTGTAGAAAAATATTAAAACTTCAAGAAAATATTCTGACTTTTAATAAAGGGATACATGTTGTGGAAAGACTGGAATTTTAGGTCGCTTGAGTCCTGTTCTTGGCCCCTCATTTACCAGGCTGTGTCCTTACAGGTTGTTCTTTGTGTTATATGGGTATAACAATATTTTCTCTAATTAGTGTTACCAATAGTTGTAAAAATCAGTACGATAACATATTAAAGATGCTCAGTAAACTGTAAAGCCCTTGATACAAATAAACATACCATTGACTGTATTATGGTACAGTCAGCCCTCCATATCCTAGGGTTCTGAATCCATAGATTCAACCAACTATGGATTAAAAGCATTTGGGAAAGAAAAATTAAAAAGGATGATTGCATCTGTACTGACTCTTTTTTGTCCTTATTCCCTAAACAATACAGTATGAAGACTTTTGACAATATAGCATTTACCTTGTATTAAGATGCAGTATAAGTAATATGGAAGTGATTTTAAAGCACCAGTCCTCGACCTCTTTGGCACCAGGGATTAGTTCCAAGACAGTTTTTCCATGAACTGGAGGCAGGAGGATGGTTTTGATAGAGTCTGCAAGCAATTGATTTACTGTGGTCTCTGTCCAGTCCATCCTCTCTGCTAATGATAATCTGTATTTGCAGGTGCTCCCCAGTGCTAGCATCATGGCCTCAGCTCCACCTCAGAGCATCAGGCATTAGATTCTCACAAGGAGCATCAACCTGGATCCGGCACGTGCACAGTTTGCTCCTGTGAGAATCTAATGTTGATCTGAAGGAAGGTGGAGCTCTGGTGGTGATGCAAGCCATAGGAAGCTCCGTAAATACAGTGGAAGGTTCTCTTGCTTGCCTGCTGCTCACCTTCTACTGTGCAGCCCAGTTCCTAACAGGCCACAGCCTGGGAGTTGGAGACCACAGGTTTAAGTATGTATGTAGCTCATACGCAAGTACTACGCCATTATTTAAGGGCCTTGAGCATGTGTGGATTCTAGTGTCTACAGACAGTCATGAAGTCAGTCCCCTGAGGATAACTATGTATTTTGATGTGTGTTCCATAGATTCTAAGTATTTGAGGTATCTTGGTAAACTATTGACCATGGTAAGCTTATTCAGTATTGTTGATTGAGGAGTGTCCTTTGGATCTCTAAACATGTATTGTGTTGTGTCTTATCTGTCTTTGCCACATGTATTTTACACATTTTTTAAGACTAAAAAAGTTATGCAATTTCATTTTTTCTCTCACGTACCCACTTAAGTGGAAAGGTATGCCTTTTGCTTGTCTTACAAAGACAAGTAACTGTAACATCTATCAGCTACTTGGTGTTTCTGTTTAAAAATATACATGATTTAGTAGCTTAGCTAAAATAAAAGTTTTGTAAAGTGTTATTTCTTGGTGTGGTAGTAGTCATGGGTTTATTTTCTTAAACTTTGAGGAAGACATACATTTTGATCTTTTTGTTTATTTTTTACAGGAATAATGTATTTGTGGCCTTGGACATGAACCGCTCAGTCCTCTGTTGCTGTTAACATAGCGTCAGGGACTGATGAGGGAAGCATGGACCTAATGAATGGACAGGCAAGCAGTGTTAATATTGTAGCTACTGCTTCTGAGGTAAGATATTTGATAAGTTTAGTTGTAAAGTTTTCTACCTGACTTCGTAATTTTTCAAGCACTGTGGTTGAATACCCACAATGTAAATCAGAAGATGAGGAGGCCTTCTAAAAACTAACATTTTTTAGTTTTTTCTTTTTAACTTTTAATTTTGCTATTCACATGTTCACTGTGAAACACTTGATCCTTATACTTGAAAAATAATGGTAAGTAATAACTTAAAACTCTTTCTTGAGTTTAGTTTTAAAGGAAACAGTTTCTTTTGAGGGTAATTTTACATTACATGAATCTTGAGGGCAATACAAGTGAGTACACTTGAGTACAAGGGAATTCCTTTTATTTAATGTTTGGACACCAGCTAGATCCCTTGATTCCAAGCCTATTAGAGTAGATCAAAGAATTATTAACCTTGAATGTTGCAATGGCTTACTCTGCTGATGTAGCTTAGCATTGAAGATGGAGATACAGACTGAACTAGTACTTACCTCAAAGTAGCAACGAAAGTAATTTTATGGTTGGGGAATCACTCCAACATGAGCCAACTGTATTAAAGGGTCGCAGCATTAGGAAGGTTGAGAACCACCGAGTTAATGTATTGTGACTTTATTTTTGTCTCTCTTTTTTTTTTTCTTTGTCTATAAATCTAGGGTACTTGCCTGCTTTCCTCAGTAACTTCAGTATCTGCTTTCCATATTTTATCTTTATTTTTACTGTGTTGAGACAGATGAGAAAAATGTTGATGACCTTTTTAACACCTGCCCTCAAAGTTCCATAGTTGAATTCTGTTTTGCCTTAACCAATTACTTGGGCCTTGATATCACTGAAAATAGTCAAAGTCTGTGGTTTTTCTTTTGGAGATGATTTTCATGTTTTTATCTCTAGCCCTGACTTCCTTTATAATTTTATTAGGCATTTCTGATGGACCAGGCATTTCACTTACACATGTAATGTCAACAAAATCAAATTACTTATTACTGTTATGTTCTATACCTTGTAAAGAAAATAGTGCAGCCCTTTTCTCTGACTTTTGTTAATGGCACCACATTTTTGTAGCCATAATAAGTTTAAATCTTTAGATTTGTTGTTAATTCACTTTCTTTGCCCCCCCCCCAGCCTTTGTCTCATCATAGCAGAAAGCATCTGCTAATAGGACAACTCTTATGTAATATAATCACACAAAAGACATCCCATCACCTTTGCAGTATTCTGCTGGTTAGAAACAAGTGTAGATCCTGCCCACACTCAAGGGGAGAGGATCACACAGGGCAAGGATGCCACGAGGTAGAGATTCTTGGCAGCCATCTTGGAACTGTCTACCTTTGATCCAGGCCTTTTCTGTTTATTTCTGCTACTAAACCACCATCCTAGTTGGTCATTTATTATTTCTTGCCTAGACTGTTGCAGTGGCCTTTTACTTTGGTCTTGTACTTCTATTCTGTGTTGTTTTGGTCCATTTGACTGAAATTTAAGATTAGTATTATTAAAATACAGCTCTTAAATTTTATTTATTTATTTATTGAGACAGAGTCTCATTATGTTACCCTCAATAAAGTACTGTGGATCGCAGCTCACAGCAACCTCAAACCCTTGGGCTTAATTGATTCTCTTTGCCTAAGACTCCCAAGTAGCTGGGACTACAGGCACCTGCCACAACACCCGGCTATTTTTTTTGTTGTAGTTGTCGTTGTTTAGCTGGCCCAGGCTGGGTCGAACTGGCCAGCCTCCGTGTATGTGTCTGGCACCATATAACCACTGTGCTACAGGTGCTGAGCCTCTTAAATTTTATTCTATACCAAAATTATTGGTGGTTCCTCATTGCCTATCAATCAAATGCCCCCTTAGCCTTTTATTCAAGACTTTCCTTAAAATGGTCCCCATTTTTTAATAGATTTAGCTCCTACTAATCCTCTGCTTGAAACTTAAATGCTAGTGAAAGAATTCTGCATTTGCTGATATCTATTAAAACACTAGTTTTTCCTTCTTCTGTTATAACTTTGCCTTTATCAGTTTTTCTACATGGAATTTTTCTTCTCATTCCAATGTACCCCTTTCCTTCCTGCACAAAAAAGAAATTTTGTCTTTCAAAATGTATTTGAAAATGCTTTTAATAAAGTCTTTCTTAATCCCCTAAACAGAGAACTTTCCTGTTTTTGAAACTGTCACTTAAAAAAGAACCTCTTCATAATTTTTTTCATAAATTTATACATAGCTTTTCTTTCTTCTTGAGACGGGGATTATATTGCTTATATATATGTTTGTATTATGTATATGCTTACTTGGTATATTTATAACCATATTTCTTAACTATGTTACATTCATGTGTGTATATATCTGTGTATGCCTATATATATATTTGTAACAATATGTTCAGAAACACCTGGTCTGCTATCACAGAAAGGTACACAAATATTTGTTAAAATACATCATTTCACTTGTATAAAACTTCTATGGACTATCCTAAAAGTGAATAAAATACGTTAAGCTTCACAGTTATACTGCTATGAAAAGTAAGGATAAAAAAGGTAAAAAAAAAAATTAAAAGTCTGCCTTTTAAATTGTCTGTTACTGTGGCAAGAAAATAAAATTAAAAATATGAAATTTCCACCTTCTCTGGAAATACAGGTTTGTTAATATCAAATGCTAATTTCTTATAAAAGTGATGGACTTACAGAATGGATAAGATACTTTATCTGGTTTGGTTGATTTATGCTTCTCAGTACCATGTGTATTTAACCTGTGCTTAAAGCTTCTGCTGTCAGTGGGAGAGTTGCAGTAGATTCATTTTCAGACATTTAAAAGTCTCAGTCTTGAATGAAGTCTCTTGTCTTGAGTGAAGAATTACTGCTCTTCTGACAGTGGACTTTATGCTTAAGTAAGGCTTAGCTTCTGGTCATTACCCCCTTATTGGTACTGGTGAAGCAGGTCAAAGTATATCACTAGTAATTTTTTAAGCCTATAATAATGGCTTGTAAGAAGGAAAAGAGGGAAGTATTTTTTTTTTTGATAAACAATAAAATTGCCATTATGATTTAGTAATTTGTCTTGAACAAATTAACAACTTGGGAAAAATTACCAACTTCTGTTTAAGATTAATGTATTTACAAGACAGGATGTATTGTACTTAGTTATTGAATTAGTGTATACTGATTAACTGATGTCTGTTTGAATTCTTAACCATGTAAATGCATTTCTGTATTAGTTTGGGGACATAAAATAATATCACTGACACACTGTAAGTAGTCATAGTTACAGAGATTATGTACATGAAATAAAATACTCCATTTTATTTATGAAACTTAAGGTTTCTCCTAGAATTTATAAAGAAGTTGGAATTTATCATTCCTGTCCTTGCAATAGGAAAAAAGCTGAATGAACTGAAAATCAGTAATTCTCTTAGCTCTGTCAGAGAATTGATATTGCAGAACAAACTAAGAGTGACGCCCTAAAACTTAGACAGAGAAAGTAGTTACAGAGAGTCAGGGGACCCATGGAAGGGTAGGGAGAAAGTGTAGTTGACAAACTGCTAGAGGTTATGTGTGGACTAGTTTGAGAGTTCAGAACTCTTAGGGACGCAGTCTCAAGTTCCTCTCAGCCTCAAGTTTTGTGAGTTTTATTACCTCTAGGATGCCTACCAGGTTCTTATAGTGAAAATCAGAGAAAAGTCCCCTTTGACTGCTAGCAAGCAGGCAGAACTGGAAAGTAGCCATTCTGAAAGACACTCAGAGCATTTTGCTTTTCGCTTGCTGCCAAGAGCCTTCCTACTTGGGAGAAGAAAAATCCCTAACTTCAGACTCCTGTAGTCTTCCTCTCTCTTTTAAGCAGGGTGAGAGCAGCTGAAAAGCGTCTGTGCAGGTTGCAATCCAAAGACACAGGCTAATCATAGGACTGTAAGACATTCCCTCCCTCCACACCGTAACCATAAGCTCCTATATAATACGAACAGAGGATTTCAGCTGAAAGGACTGTATGGCTCAAGTAAGAAGGCGTTTCCAGGGGGGTGGCGCCTGTGGCTCAAGGAGTAGGGCTCTGGCCCCATATGCTGGGGTGGCGGGTTCAAACCCAGCCCTGGTCAAAAACTGAAAAAAAAAAAAAAAAAAAAAGAAAAGAAAAAGAGTTTCTAGGGAACCCAAAGACAACAGAGGAGAATGAAACAAGGATGTTAGAGGAAATTGAAGACTCATACACTTACAGCAACACCATGACTCTTAGCATGAGAAACATAAACCCTTACACTAAAGGCCTATTTAGCCAGTTCTTATTACCAAACATACTATCTCTGACTTCAAACAAAAAATTACGAGGCATGCTAAGACACAGGAGTGTAGTCTGAAGAGAAAAGCAGCAGAACCAGATTCAGATATGGCAAAGATTTTGAAAGTAATCAGACTGGGGATTAAAATAACTGTCATTAATATCTTAAAGGCCCTCATGCAAAAAATAGACAACATGTAAGAACAGATGGCTGATAATAAGCAGGGTTATTAAAGCTCTGAGAATCAAAAAGAAATGCTAGAATTCAAAAACATTGTGACAGAAATGAAGAATGCCTTGAGGAGCTCACAAGTAGTAGACAGGTGGCTAGTAAACAGCGAAGGAAAGAACCAGCTTGATGTTGAGCTTTTGCTGAAACTTCCTGAACTGAAATGCAGAGATAATAGAATGAAGGGAAAGGAGCAGAGTAGCCAAGGACTAGGGGGCAATGTTACACATACTAGGGTACCAGAAGGAAGAGAGAGAAAGAAACAGAAGAAATATATTTTTTTTAATTTTTATTTATTTTATTTTGTTTATTCATTTATTTTGCAGTTTTTGGCCAGGGCTGGGCTTGAACCCACCACCTTTGGCATAAGGGGTCAGTGCCCTACTCCTTTGAGCCACAGGTGCCCCCAGAAGAAATATTTAAGGTAGTAATAGTTGAGAATTTTCCAACATTAGTGATACATCATTTCCTTTGTAATAATGGTGGCTCTATACTTGGAGCTACTGCTACTGAAGGCAGGGAGATAAAAAAATGAAGCATAAGAACAAGTGCTCAAAACTGATGTGTAACAGCTGGTGGGTTGACCTGTGTGTGCTATGGTAAGTAAAGCATTGGTTAATTTTTTATTAAATCATAACTTTGTACATTGATGCATTTATGAGGGTCAGCAGTGTATATCACTGCTTCGATATACAATGTGAAATGTTTACCTTGAACTATGGTTAATTTTTTGTGCCATTAACTATAGCCTCATATCCTACCACCATTTAATTCAAGCTCGGTCTGAATGTTCTTGTGTTGATGATCCTCCAAATTCAGCCAACTATTCAGAATATACTTTTATGTCATGACACAGATGAAGTGGAAATTTAATAGCAGTAAGATTTTTAGGGCCGAAATCCACCTTTTGTTCTATATGTAGCAACAGCACATTCAAACTTAAAACAGAAAAAGTTAAAATTGCAGTATAGTGGGAACAGTGCTCCTGGTGTCCAGACTTTCTCCACTGCATGCTGATTTGAGGGACTTTTTTGCTTATCTTTGGTATGGAACATCACACAAAGTGTGCATGGACCTTTTTCTTTGCTAGTCACCTTTCATTAGTGTTTGTGTACTTAATGTCTGGTGCAAGATAACTTTTATTCTTCTCACGTGTGGCAGAAAGGAAAAAAGATTGGTTACTATCACAGACAGAAATGACTTACCTAAGAATGCATTATTCAAGTCTTTAATTAAAGGAGTTCTAACTATTTTTTGATGGCTATGTGATAAAAGTAATCATCTTTTTTTTAATAAAAATTAGTTTTTAAAGTAATAAATACATGTGTATCTTTCTCCCTGACTTCCTTTACCCGTTTGAGAATCATCAACCTAGTTAGAATCTTTTATGTCTATAGAAAATGATAGAATGTCAGGATAAGGAAACTTGACGCACAAGAAAATGACCTAACTCAAGAATGTAAAAATGTAAAAAACAAGAAGTGTGAAATTGAGGTTAGATTTCAAGTTGCTTACCCTTTGAGTACTCTAACAAGTAGCTTTTCTCCAGCATTTGTTAATCCATTGTTCTTAGTTTCCTCGGTTTTTAAGGTCATTTTGGTTTCTGTCGCATAGACTGTGGGACAATATTAAAATGGCTGCATTTTCTTTCAATTTAACAGAAGAGTAGCAGCTCTGAATCATTAAGTGACAAAGGTTCTGAATTGAAGAAAAGCTTTGATGCTGTGGTATTTGACATTCTTAAGGTTACTCCAGAAGAATATGCGGTAAGCACCTTCTGTCTTCTCCAGGTTTTCTATGTAGTTTACATGTTGTTGCTATTGAGTTAGAATTTGTAGACTCTGCAGAAGAGATGATTTTTAAAAAGGTGGATATGGGAATTTGGGGGGAAAGTGACACAACTATAGAACAAGCAGAGGAATAACGAAGGGAAGTTAAGAGTTACAGACTGTTTTGGAG